GGACAATGACTAGGGATGATAGAAGGAGAATTCACGCCTTTGAGCTGTGGTGCTGGAGAAGAGTATTGAATGTACCATGGACTGCCAAGAAAATAAACAGATCTATCCTAGAGAGCGTTAAACCAGGCTACTCCTTGGAGGCAAGGATTCTGGGGCTTCGTCTGACATACAACAACAACAACATATATATAGATATAGACATAGATGATATAGATAGATATAGATATAGATATAGATATAGATATAGATATAGATATATCTCTCTATCTCTATCTATCTATCTCTATCTCTATCTCTATCTCTATCTCTATCTCTATCTCTATCTCTATCTTTATCTCTATCTATCTATATCTATATAACCAATTATTATATTTAACTTTCAAAGAAGCTAATTTAGGGCATATATATTTGATGGAAAATACTTTGGAAAATGTTTTTGTTTGTTTTGTTCTTATTTGAAAACAAATGATTTTTTCCCCCTCTTCACTTCCTCTTCAGAACAACTTAAAAAAGAAAATGGTAAGCTTCAGCATCCCATTTACAGACAAGTTATTCTCTTCTAAGGGAACTTTTTCCCCTTCACTCTTTCCTTATTTCTGCCATTAAACTTCCTCTGAATGTATTTTCATGCCTTTTCTCTTTTATGGTTTTTATTAATTTTTATTGTTACAACTTCCTTTGTCCATTTCTCTTTTCTGTATTGTCCTCCCATGAATTATATTAGTCTCATTCTTGAATTACCTTTAATACATGTAGTATTTTTAATTTTGTTTTCCACGATACTAGCAATAGCTCCTCCTGTCTAGTGTGAGAGAAGAGTCAGTCTGCTGTAACAAAATATTAGATAGAGCTACTATTATACCTGCTTTGCTAAAGATTACACAATAAGAATGCTTTTTCTAGGCAATCCAAATCCTAGAGTGCTTCCTGAAAATCAAGCCTATTTTCTCCACTTTATGACTTGAGCCTCAGTGCCTGGGCCAGAGGTGAAATTTGTTCTTAGTGATGGGGAGTCTTTAGAAAATGTCAGATGTGTTTTGAGTTACTAATCTGGCCACCTACCAAAAGTCAGATCTTCACCATATTCTTGAACCTATTTATCCTTAAAACTTTAAATTATTTTTAAAATTTGTTTTTCAGATCAAATTAAGGAAGCAAAAGGTAGGTTCATAATATACAAAATATTCAGGAGTGCCGTATCATCATATCTGAGGATAGAACTATATATACAGTTACAGTAGTTTGTCAAAAGATTGAACCCAGAAATAAAAGAAGTTGCTTGAAATTTTATTGCTATGTAACATAGCTATGCCTTCACCCACCTAAGGAAATTGTGGCATAGTCAATTAAAAATGTCTTGGTTATTGAGCAGCAAATTAATAATATGATGATAAGGGACTAACAGTGGTCAAAACAACTTATGACATGGAGTTTTCAAGAGGAATGACATTTGCCTAAGATTTCTATTCTTTTTATTTTCTTTTCAAATTTTAAAATGCGTACTGCGTTACATTAGCACAACAGAGAAAGTACTCAGTGTCTTGAAATCATTTTTCTAATTTGAATCTCGGACATGTTCTAGACTTAAAAGCATCAGAAGCTTTTGATAACAGCATGAGCTTTGGATTTGAAAACAGTGAGCAAATGGCTATAAAATCCAATATTTTCTAGTAAAACCCATTTTGCCCCCTAGAAACTTATACAATGATTAAATCAAAGAGTATTATTCTTCACTACTTAAAGAATTGAATAAACATATAGAAATATTCTTATTTTCATATTCCAGTTTCCCTAAAATGATGCTAACTAGATATCCTAACCTCTTTATTTTAGAGTGTGAAAATAGTTCCAATCATCCCTTTTATTTGGTGTACTTGTCCAGTACTACAGCTATTAAGCTATTTCTTTATGTATTTCTAAAATGGTGCTGGAAGACACAAAAAATTTAGAAGCTCCTCTAGTTATTGTGTAACAGAGAAGTGCCTTGGCAGTGAAATAAGTTTTGGATAAAACCTCAAATGTTGAATAAACAACTGTTAGAAAGATAGCAAGTTATGTACCCTTGCTCTCCTCTCAGTTTCGTCATCTACCCGAGTCATTAATTACTCATGAGTCCCACCGATGGGCCCAACTAATTACTCATGAATCTCACTGATCAAATGTGATGCTGCATGTAATGCGTGCAATAAGTTCCATACTGTTAAAAGACTTGTAAAATTTCCTTGCATTTCTTAGGATCGGACTTTTGGTGGTGACGGTAATGAAGACATGATAATGGTGATGAGACAATGATTTAGAGATGTTAGGCTTACATTACGAAAAAAATTTCAACATATTTTAAAGTTTTAGATACAATGAAATTAAGATTTATTCTCTCATTTACCATTTGAAATAAAGCCTTATTGTCCCTTTCCTTCTCAATGTTTCAGTGATATGCCAAAAAAATAAATAGTACTGATACTAACCCTTAAAAGTTAACTATGGAATGCATATGTCTAAAGATGGTGAAGAGAAGATTGTTCACAGCTTTAGTTTGCTTGGCTCCACAGTCAACACTCTTGGCACCAGCAGACAGGAAACTAAAAGACGTATTGCAATGGGAAAGTCTGCTGTTAGGGACCTCTCCAAAGTACTGAAGAGCAATGGTGTCACTATGGAGAGTAAGGTGCACCTGATTCAGGCCGTGGTCTTTGCAATCACTTGTTATGCATCAGAGAATTGGACAATGACTAGAGAGGATAGAAGAAGAATTGATGCCCTTGAGCTGTGGGTGCTGGAGAAGAGTATTGAATGTACCATGGACTCCTAAGAGAAACAGGTTCATCCTTGAGAGGGTTAGACCTGCTCCTTGAAGGCAGGGATTCTGAGGCTTTGTCTGGCGTACTTGGACATGTTGCAAGGAGGGACCAGTTCTTGGAGAGGGACATCATGCTTGGGAGGGTGCAGGGACAGCGCAGGAGGGGAAGACCCTCTATGAGGTGAATTGATTCAGTGACTGGGGTAATTGTGGTAGGTTTGTCAGACAGAGTAAGATTGGCACAGAACAGTGCAGGGTTTAAGGCTGTTGTACATAGGGTCATTATGAGTCGCAAGTGACTTGATGGCACATAGCAACAACAACAACAACATGGCATATGTGTTTGATTTGATAAGTTTGGGAAAATATGCTGGTTTGGTTTTGTCCTGTTTGAAAATATATATATAATCTCTAGTATCTCTTTTTTTGCCCCTATCTTCCAGAACAACTTCAGAAAGAACATGGTAAGATTCAGTGAGAATCACTTTATAGACATGCTGTGATTTTACTACAGGGATTTTGTTTTTTTCCTTCCTTCCTCTTCTATGTCATTAACTTTTGCTGAACATATTTTGAGTGATTTCCTCTTGTCAATTTTATTCACTTTAATTACTAGCTGCTCTCCTTGTCCATTTCTCTCCTCTCTGTCCTTTTTTCCAAAAGTTACATTTGCCACATTATTGAATTATCTTTAACAAATGTAATATTTCTTCATCTTTCCTTGTGATCAATAAATGCTCATTTCCAGGCTAAGATTAGGGTAATTCCATTATGAGAAAGTGTTGAAGCTCTTGTGATTCTTCTGTGCCCAAAATTTCATGGCAAAAAAGCCTTTATTTGCCAATATAGTTTTTATAAAGCAGGTGAGATAGTTTTTTCCAAAGAATATGTCTGTTCTTTGCTTTGGGTCTGGAAAATTGTAACCTAGTCTAATACTTGAATCATGCCATATGCTTAGTAATTATAGTTAAGTGCCGTAGAGTTGTAGGCAACCAATAACCACCCTATGAATGACAGTCTTGAAGCAAACTTTCATCTTTTCTCCAAGTTCATAGAGTTTCCAGTGGCAAGCTTTTTTTGGAATTGGATGTCACTCCTGCTTCCAAGCTTGTTGTAGTTAAAAGACCCACAAAAATCAGGCCTGAAAGCCATAGACTCAAGGGCCAAAAAGCCTTTATAAAGGCAAGGCAAAATCTATGAACTCAAACCCTGTCGTGAGCCAGAACCACACCCTATTCTCAACCCCAAACCAGAAAACACACCTTTACAGAATCCAGATGTTTCACTCATCTTCCCAGCCTAGATCTCTTAATTTATTAGACAGAAATCAGAATTTATCAGATATGATTTTACATTGTTAATCTGGCCATATTTGATTTAGCAAATGTCAGAATTTAATCATATTATGGAATCTGTTGACCTCAAAATTGTTTTAATGTTTTCTCTTTATTTTTCATACAGAAAAGGAAGAGATATGCAAAGTTCATTAATCTAAATGAATTCTCAGTGTCCTAGAGACTTTTCCAGGGTTTCAAATTATATTGGAGGACATGGTTCACCTTTCTCTTACAGAGGTGTTGGTGGCTTCAAAATGCCTTAAAAGTGAAATGTGTGGTTTAGCAACTCATCTCCTTTGGACTGTGCAACCAGGAAATACTAGTTTGCATTCTTAGTTTTTAAATCTTATTTTAAAAAGTATTTCCCTACCTTTAAAATACACAGGAAGATGAGAGCCCTTGATTTGCTTCTCTTTTAATATAAATAAAATTCTTTGGATCGTGTTTGTTTTAAAGATGTCTGCAACCAAGTAGGTTCCTGGTTGGTGCAAGAGAGATAATGAGTTCGGCTGCTACCATAAAGTGTTAATATTTTAAGTTCATTCGGCAACACCTCAGAAGAAAGTTTTGTATTTTCTATTTTAAGCTGTTGAGAATCCTTTGGAACTCACTTCTGCATTAATACACATGAAGTCAGTATGTCAGAACCAATAATAAATTAAAAATAGAGTAATGATGGTCAAGACAATCTATGACAAGGAGAGGTAAAAAAGGATGACACTTGCCAAGTTTTCTCATGATTTAAAAAATAGTTCTTAAGGGAGATCTGGTGGCCTCGGGCAAGAAACTGCATTGCAATCCTAGCAGTACGTGGTTCGAATCCACCAAATGATCTGCAGGAAAAGGAGAGGCAATCACTTCCTGTACCAGTCAGATCCGATTTGATGGTACACACACACACACACACACACACACACACACACACACACACACAATCATTCTTAGACATTTTGAGACATTAACACATACAAGGAAACTGTAGAGTATCTTAAAATCCAATAAGCCATCATTTCTATAATTTGAATCCTTAATGAATTCTAGGCTTATAAACATCAAAAGCACTTTGACAGCAGAGTTTAGGATTTGAAAATAGTGAGCTATTTTCAATAAGACCATTTATTTCTCTGTATAAATCTTATTGCCACTCAGAAACTTGTATATTGATCAAATCGAAAGAAATTGTACTTCTACTTCAACTTTAAGAATGGGATAAATCTAAAGGGAACAATATTCATTATATTTTCTTACAGAGTTCTTTAAATAAAGCTCTATCTATCTTTTCATCTTAAAATGAATTTTTTTCTTTTGATGACCCTAATTCAGTGAAATACTTTGTTTAGTTACCTCTTAAAAAGCTTTACTTTTTAGTGTGAATGTAATTCTAAGACTTCCTACTGTCTTACTGCTGTGAGAAAATGTAAGACGCAGGTCTTATTGTACCTGTTTTGCTCATAGTTTCATGATAAGGATGTTCCTTCTAAGCAATGAAATTCCTACAACATGCTTGAGACAATTTCTCAAAAAGTAAGCCTATATTCTTTGTTTAATGACTTGAGATTTAGTGCTTGAACCAATGGTTCAACTATTCTAAATGCATAGTGATTAGGAGACTTCCTTTAGAAGTGTTAGACATGTTTTTCAGTCATTAATCTGGCCACCTTTCAATAGTCACAACTTCATATTATTGAAAATGTTGATCCTTAAAACTTTATATTTTGTTTTGTTTTGTTTTTCAGACCAAATAAAGGAAGAGAAAGGTAAGTTTGCAATGCACAAAATACTCAGGAATGCAGTATCTTGACACCTGAGAACAAAACTATGGGTATAGTTATGGTAGTTTGTCAAAAGTTTGAACCCAGGAATAAATGAAGTTACTTGAACTTCTACTGTTATACACACAGTTATGCCTTGAAACATCTGAGGTAACTATGGCACAGTTAACATACCTTGGTTACCTGCCAACAACTTAAAATGCAATAATAAGGGAATAATGATGGTCAAAACAACCTGTGACAAGGAGACTTCAAGAGGAATGACATTTGCCTAAGTTTTCTACTTATTTTTAAATTCTGAAACTCAGACTGTGTTGCATTAGCACACAGAGAAACTACTCATTGTCTTGGAATAATTTTTCCAATTCGAATCCTTTACATGTTCTAGACTTAAAAGCATCAAAAGCAATTTGATAGCAGCATAGGCTTTGCATTTGAAAAGAATGAGCAAATGGCAATAACATCCTATATTTCCCAGTAAGATTCTTTTTACCACCTAGAAACTTATACAATGATTATAATAAAACAAAAATATTATTCTTCACTTTGCAAAGAACTGAATAAGGGAGGAATATTCCTCTTATTGTCTTACTTCCAGGTTCCCTAAAATGATGCTAACTAGATATCCTAATCCCTTTATTTTAGAGTGTGAACATAGCTCCAATTATTTCAATTAGTTGATGTCTAGTACTGGAGATGTTAAACTATTTCTTCATGTATTCCTGAAATGGTGCTGGAAGACACGAAAAATTTAGAACCTCTTCTAGTTGTTGGATACCAGTGAAGTGCCTTAGCAGTCAAATAAGTTTTGGATAAAACCTTAAATCTTGAATAAACAACTGTTAGAAAGACAGCAGGTTATGTACCCTTGATCTCCTCTCTGTTTTGTCTTCTACATCATGTCATTAATTACCCTTAAGCCCTACTGATAATCAAATGTCATGCTGCTTGTAATGCACACAAAGATGAGTCCCATACAGTTCAAAGACTTTTTGAAATTCCATTAGACTACAGATGGTGGTACTGTTTCTAATGTTAATGAAGACATGGAATTGATAATGAGGCAGTTCTTTCTAAATTAGTTTTTAGAGAAACATAATGAAAAAAATTTAAACCTAAATTTTTAAAGTTTTGGAAATATTGAAATTAAGATTTATTCTCTCAACTACCATTTGAAGTAAAACTTTTTTATTCCTTTCCTTCTCAGCATTTCAGTGAGATACTCATAAATTAAATAGTACTGATAGTAACCTTTAAAGCAGCTAATCTATGGCATATATGCTTGTTTGGAATAGTTTGGGAAAATATGCTCATTTGTTTTGGTCCTGTTTGAAACAGTGTTTTTTTTCTCTGTCTCATTCAGAACAACTTCAGAAAGAAAATGGTAAGCTTCAATGACACTCAATTTATGGTCCTATTGTGATTTTCCTATGGGGATTTTGTTTGTTTTTTCCCTTCCTCCCTTATCTAAGCCATTATTTTCTGCTGAATATTTTGTGTGATTTTTCTCTTGTTCTTTTTATTCACTTTTATAAATAAGAGCTGTTCTCCAAGATAATTTCTTTCCTCTCTGTCCTTTTCCCAACAATCATATTTGTTCCATTATTGAATTATCTTTAACAAATGTAATATTTTATCATCTTACTTTATAATCAGTAAATATGCATATTTAGTCTGAAATAAGAGCAATTCTCTTGTAAGAAAGTGTTAGAGCTCTTGTAATACTTTTGTGCCCAAAATTTCAAGGCAGAAAAAGTTTTTTCTAGTCAATATAATTTTTTAAAATTTTATTTTATTATTTTTGTGTGAGTGTACCATCAAATCAGATCTGACTGGTACAGGAGGAGATTGTCCCTCCTTCCCCGGAAGAGCATCTGGTGAAGTCAATATAATTTTTACAAAGGGTTTGAGATTGTTTTCTTCCAGCTACTTCTCAACAATATCCTCTGTAGAAATCTTTCATTTATTTCTTTTTGTTTGACTTTGTCTTTTCCTGTCCTAGAATTTTAGTCATATATAGGTTATTCTAGTGATGTATCTAACAAAATTTTTATTTTTCCTTTACTCAATTTCTTTTTCTGATTGTTTCTTTAGCAGACTAGTATTGCACAAAATGTCCAATATCTCACTAATTCTTTATCCAAATTGTTCGTTCACCTGTGCTCTTTTATCCTTTCGGTGTATTAAAATATTTAGATATTTTATTTTGCTTGTAAGTTTTAATTTGTTTTGTCTAGTTAGTCTTGTTGTTGTTGTTGTTATGTGCTGTAGAGTCGTTTGCGACACATAGCGACCCTATATACAATAGCCCTAAACCCTGCTCTATCCTGTGCCAATCGCACTGCCTCTGACACTCCCATCCTGATTACCCCAGTCACTGAATCAATCAACCTCATAGAGGGTCTTCCCTTCCTTCGCTGTCCCTCCACCCTCCCAAGCATGATGTCCCTCTCTAAGGACCTGTCTCTCCTTACAACATGTCCAAAATATGTCAGACGAAGCCCCAGAATCCTTGCCTCCAAGGAATAGCCTGGTTTAACCCTCTCCAGGATAAATCTGTTTGTTTTCTCGGCAGTCCATGGTACATTCAATACTCTTCTCCAGCACCACAGCTCAAAGGCATCACTTCTCCTTCTATCCTCCCTAGTCATTGTCCAACTCTCTGATGTATGACAAGTGATTGCAAAGTTAGCCTTGCATTAAATAAAATATATATACACAGATTTTTAATTATTCTTTAGTTATTTGTTGAACTTTTTCTTAATCCAATGAAGACAGTTGACTATAATACTTTTGAATTTTTATCAGGAAGTTCTAATAGAATTTCTTTCTCCAAAATTTTGCTGAGTTTTTTCCTCCCTTTAGCTCACTTTTTTGATATATCTGATTGAGTTGTGGGTACAGATTCCTAGTTTTACAATTAATGTTTCACCTCCTGCCTTCTGGTGGGTGTGATAGAAGATGGAGAGAGGTTTTTAAGTGTAATTCTTTACTGTTGAGTAAAGCAACTGAAGGCAGAAGAACGGTGTTTGTTACAATCTTTAATTAATCAGATGGAGCAGGAGTCACTCTTTATAGTTCATTATGTGAACCTGTTAGAAGTGTTTGCATTGGATAAGACAATTCTTTGTTCTATTATATATAAGGCTGCATTAAGTCAGAATCAACTTAGTCATAGCTAGTATTAACTATGCTACCATAGCCCATAAAAATGAATCTATAGAGAATTTTATAATTTCTCTCTTGGATAGCAACTGCAAATCTATTTATTATTTTAATAAGTGACAAGTTTTTCTTGTTTCCCTTACTAAGATTCAGCATGCATCCTAGAAGAGAAAAATAGAATTTTGTTTTGATATTGATCTCATGTCATTGGATGAGATCTTTCACAGCAAATTTCTCTTTCCATTCTCTGTGACATTATAGTGAGATTTAATTTTTTTCCAACAGACTCGCAAGAAGAGTTTGATAGTTTTATTCTGAGTTAATTATAATTCTATTTATATATCCTCTCCTGCTTTTATTAAAACCCACCTCTCTTTACACTTTATTCCAGATAACTTTAACATTACCCTGTTGTCTTTCTATATAATACTGAAGTTATTATGTTGACAATATTTCTTTGCTCACCATGATTATGTGTTTTAAGTGAAAATTCATTTATAAACCTTTGTTAATGAACTCAATTTTATTCATGCAAAATAATTTCAGAAAGGAAAAATAATGAGTAATGTGATGACAATAATTATGGGAGATGGTTCAGTAAAGGTGTATCTTTACTTCTGTTTTTTTTTATTTCTTTTAATTCTAATGTGTACATCTCCTTTTAGATGAGTGGAAGGTTCATGTCCAGATTGGTAAGTAATTTTGGGAAATAATTCCACAAACAGAAGTCCCATTCAAGGCAAGAATTAGGCGTATAGCTTTCCACTATGTTTCTTGCATAGGAACATAAACAGTAGACTATCTTAGAGAACGTTGAACACATTTGCTACTTTCTTTGTACTTTAGTAAAACTTTTCAGTATGTTGGGAACAACAACAACAATAATACATGAATGTGATTGTACAGTTTAATTTTTAAATGAATAATTCTTTAGCTTTGTTTCTCTGTCTACTTTCTTCATTTTTGTTCCTACTTTAACTAATCTCAATTTTATATTCCAGCTCTCAATGTTTTCCTTCCTTTCTTTATTTAGCACCTTAATTCTCTCTTCCCTTTATTTACTTTCTTTACTCCTTCCTTCATTTCTTAAGTTTATTTTCCAATCATATCTCAGTCCACCTCCATTTCTTAACCTAGGAATATTTCTCTTCATTACCCTTTTCTGCTTTTTTTCTTCCTTTTTTCTCTTGCTTTTACCTTGCCTTTATTCTTACTTATGTTTCACCATGCGCATGAGTAAATCTAAAGATCTTCAAATTCTGGAAGAAGTTGGCCAAATATTTTGGTCACATGAAAAGGACAAAACATAAATGTGTAGCTGTGTAATGATAGAATATCAATGATGAGAGGATAAGAAAAAATATGAAGAGCACCAGAAGAGATGAATAAGATTTCATCATTTTTGCTACTTGCAGGTGAGCAGAAAACATCACTGTATTCTGGTAAGTGGCATTTTTCTGATCATGGTTATTCTTTTCAATTACCAAATATGTAACAGAGATTCTTTAAAACTGGTAAAATAATATCTAATAGAAAAGATTATATACCATAAAAGCCCTTCTCTTGGAAGTTCAATACAAATGCTAATTCCAGATATTATTAATCTTTTTGCACCTGCTAAATACAATCGGTTAGACTTTGATAAATGTTGCTAGTTATAGAGGGCATTCAGGCCTTTTGTTCATATGATCCCTGTGAGTTGTGCTCAACTTGAAAGTAATCAACAACAACAGCATAGTACACATAACAGTTAATTAGAACAGAATTTAAGAAATTAAAGCTGAGTACATTTGTTCTGACAAATATATTTGCCTTTCTGTTTTCACAAATTTATTGAGATTTTATTTATTTTTAAACTGACTTTGCCCAGCAAAAAACAAATGTTAGGTATTAACATGCTATATGTGGCTAGATTTGTTAAGTTAAAAAAATGAACTAAATTTTTTACTCATGACTATCCTTCATCTAGCTAGATACTCTGAACGCTCTCTTCTAAATAGTCATACTCTATGGTTTCTTTAATATTATAGTTTCTTTTTTCCCCCTGTTATTAAGCACTGTTGAGTCAGAACAGACTCATAGCTGATCTTCTGAGACAGTAAATCATGTAAGAGATTTCCCATCTTCCTTGGGTAGATGATGGTGAATTAAAACCTTAGTGCATTTATGTTGGCAGCCAACTTCTTAACAGTAAGCCACTAGAGCTCCCTCTCAATTGTATCATTGTTCTTTAATCTCAGTCATAATTTTGAGGGAAGACAGAAAAATGAGAATATCAATAAGAAGAGTGTTTTTTGGCAGCAATTGTGCATCCACTAAATATATATGTCACATTAAAAATATATAAATATAGAAATATATAGAAATAAATATATAGAAATATATGGAAATATATAGAAATATATATATATGTCACATTAAAAACTCTAATACCTGGGAATGATAATTAATTGTGCAAATTAAACTAGACAAATTAAATTATTCCTGGAAGAAAGCAAAAAGTCTTGACAAAGACAGAGGTGAATGTAGAAACCAAAATGAATGTCAGAAGAAACTCTGAAAACTGCAGTTGAGCATCAAGAAGCTAAATAAAAGGGAAGAAATGCTGAAGTAAAAAAGCTGAACCAAAGATTTCTAAGAGCAGCTGGAGGAAATGAAGTAAATAATTTTGATGGAATATGCAGAAATCTGAAATTGGATAATAAAGAGGGAATAATTTACTTGGCATTTCTCATACTGAAAGAACTGGGAAAAAGATTCAAGCTTTGAGTTACTATACTGAGTGATGCTATGAGAAAAATCTTGAATGATCCAGTAAATGTGAAAAGAAGATGGAAGAAATGCACAGAACTACTCTATCAAATTGTTAATACTGAAAAATTTCAGGAATAACCATATGACAAGGAGCTAATGATAATGAAGGAAGACATTCAACTGCTCTGAAGGCATTGGGAAAAAATAAGACCCCAGAAATTGATGGGTTACCAAGTGACATGTTTTAACTACTAGATGTAGCCCTAGAGATGCTTACTAGTCTATGCTAGGAAATTTGGAGCATAGCTGCTCACTGACTGACTAGAAGCAGTCTATATTTGTTCCTATTCTCCAGAAAGGTGATGCAACAGAATGTGGAAATTATCAAACAGTATCATTAATATCACCATTGCCTCTTGATCATATGTTGTTTTTTGAAATTATTCTGTGTCAGCCAATTATTTTATGTACAGTGACTCTATATACTCTTTGAATCTTCTTTTAATGCTTCCTGGATCATTCAATGTTCTGCCCATAGAATCCTTAAGTATTACAACGCAAAGCTTGAATGTGTTCTTTAGTTACTGTGGCTTAAGAAATGCTGAGTGAGTGTGACCCTTTTGATTTTTGGACTCTGGTTCTTTGCACATTTTATTATAATATTTAATTTGCCTTCCTGTGTTGCCCTTTGAAATATATTCAGCCTCTACTTTCTGATTTCTTCCCTTTGCTTTGGCTTCTCTGTGCACTGGTGCAATATTAGTCTCTTCTGACTTGAATATTGGTCTTCTTCTGTCTTTGTAATGATATTTTGCCTTCTTCATGAACTATATCCTTGATATCTTCCCATAGCTTATCTGGTTCATTAGTGTTCAAGGCTTCAAACCTGTTACAGAGTTGGTTTATATTCAGGTGGGACAGACTAAAGGTCAAATTTTGATTCCTGTGGATTTGATTTGACCTTCTTTAGCTTTAATTGAACTTGCATATGAGTAGTTGATGATCTTTTACACAATCACCACCCTGCCCAGTTTTCATTGGTGATACTGAAATTTTCCCAATTCCTTTCATAGATGTATTTAGTCTGATTCCTGTTGCATACCATCAGGTGAAATCCATATGTGTAGCCTGTGTTTATATTTCTAATAAAAGGTATTTGCTAGGAATAAATCATTAATTGTACAGAATTCTATCATTCAATACCCAATCTTATTTCTGTCCCCAAATCCATGTTTTCTGACTACTGATCCTTATTCCTGGTTCCCAACTTTTGCATTCCAGCCACTCATTATTACTAATACATCTTAGTTGCATATTCCATTGATTTCTGACTACAAAAGTTGATAAAAATAATTTATTCCCTCATCTTTGGCTCTGTTTGTTGGTGCATAAATGTGAATGATAGTGGTATTAACTGATCTTCCTTGTATGTATATGGATATTATCCTGTCACTCACACCATTGTTTTCAAGATGTATCTAGAAACAACCTTTATAACTATGAAAGTTACCTCATTTTTCTTTCTCATCTTTTCATCTCCAGCGTAGTATATCATATGGTCATCTGATTAAAAATGTTCCATGGCACTGCATCTCATTTAGCCAAATACTTGCTATGCATCTGAGTGTTGAACAATGCCCAATGATGATAGAAGAAGAATTAATGCCTTTGAGTTGTGGTGCTGGAGAAGAGTCTTGAACATACCATGGACCACTAAAAATACCAATATGTGTGTCTTAGAGAGGATGAAACCAAATTTCTCCTTGAAGGCTAGGATTTTGAAGGCTGCATCTCACATATTTGGGGCATGTAGCCAGGAGGAACCAATCCTTGGAAAAGAACATCCTGCTCAGAAGGATGGAGGAACAGGACAGGAGAGGAAAACCCTTTGACTATGTTGTTTGTTGTTAAGTGCCGTTGAGTCAGAGGTGACTCATAGTGACCCTATGAACGAAAGACCAGAACACTAGTATAACTTTTGTCCTTTCTCCAGGTTCATAGGGTTTTCAGAGGCAAGCTATTATGAAAGTGGATGCCACTCTTGCTTCCAAGCTTGTTTTAATCAGGGAGCTTCACCAAACACTGTCCACCATGGGTAACCATTCCGCATTTGACACATCAGTGTCCTAGTGTTCAGCTTCCCACGAGTTACCTCTGTACAGCAAGTGGACATACTAGGGTTATACGAGGGCTGTGGTTTAGAGTCACTCACCTTGGCTTGGAGCATGACTTTCTGTCTACTAGGCAGTGAAATATAAACTCCTCAATGGTGTATTCCACAATTGACACGTATTTGAGTTCTAACTGCTCATATTGCTCTTCCTCAAAGGCTCTTTCCACAGATCTAATAATTTTGATTCCTGTTCAGTCCATCAGGTGACGTCCATGTGTAAATTAGCCTTTTGTGTGTGTTTTTTTAATTTAATTTTTTTTGTAATTTTTATTTTATTTTAATAATTTTAATGAACATTTACAGAGATTTTGGATTTCCATTCATTCATTGCTGCACTTCTCTCACCATCCAGCCCTCCCCCTGTGTTTTTTTTAAGAAGCTATTTTCTATGAATAAATCATTGAGCTCACAAAATTCAATCATTCTCTCTCCAGCCTCATTTCTGTCCATACTTTACAACTACTTTATTGTTTCCAACTTTGTGTTCCAGTGATCAATAATTATTTTTTTTCAAGTGAAGGATCACTGCATTTATTCACCATTAGTATTTCTTAATGATTAACAAAATTTGAACAATTACAAATAATGGAGTTGAATAAAGTCTTAACCAAAATAAATTATTAAAATGTAAAAATAAGGAGGTCTGAATTGCTTCCACTGTGGAAAGCTGGGCCACTTCAGTAGACAGTGTCACAGACAAGAGCCGCACATAGGCAAGGGAGTAGAGAGGAAGCTCCCACTCACTTGCTTTAAGTGTGGCTCTGA